ATTGCTTTAATGAAAGGCACGGAGACTCCTGACATTGCCTTCTGCATCAACCCATTCATCTCCGGCTTTTTCCCGTAGTAAGTGTACGCCGGCTCACCGTTCGCCTTCACGAATGGTTCCGATTTCGGATCCACCACCGCCTCGTGCACCAATGGCCATGCTTTCATTAGTTCGTCCTGCAAAAAAAAAAAATCGTCGATTTTTATGATACAAGTACAATTAAACGAAAATTTCATTAAACTTGGGGGAAATTAGATTGAAGAAAAACTGAAATGAATAAACCTGGTGATGCTGGAGCACGTAAGAAGCGTAGGAAAGACCATCGGCGTCGGTGACGAGCGTCTTCCCGATCTCAGTGAGTGAGTATTTTCTCTCCGCACAGTCAGTATCATCCAGTACCTCCGCGAACACACCGTAGCTAGTGAGCATACGGAGGATGCGCTGGAGGTTTTCGGCATCCCCACCACCGGAAGGTAGAACTTTCGCGAGGATCTGGGAGGCGGTGAGAGGGCTATTAGCCCCACCTTGCCAGATTGCGTCGGGAACGTTGAGGCGGACGATGGCGTTGAGGGACATAGGAACGCTTAGCATGTTGGCCAGTTCAAGAATGGCGAGTCTCGCTCTGTGCCGGGTTTCCATCGTCTCCTCCACGGGTTCAGCGTTGGCAACTAGCCACCAACTTTCTCTGTTTTAAGTCAGTATTTTGTCGTCATCTGCTCTTCGGTTTTGAAGACTCGTGGAAAGTGGGCGTTTATTTATTTATTTTTATTAGGCTTCCGCACTCAATAAATGCATTGAATCCTGCATCCAATCCTGTTAATCTGGCCAACCGGGCCTCTGACCGAATGATTGGCTCTTAAGCCTTAGAATTTAAGTGAGGCGAATATCGGGTTTCGAGTTCTGTCATCATCGTGAACTTCACCGATTTAATGGTTGCGCGTTTCTTTTGAGTGGTGGATTGTTTACTATTCTGGGAAGTCCCAGTTGCTAACAACTAACTTTACTAACTTTCTAACCATTATCTTGTCAAAAAAAAAAAAGTCCTGCTAATCTGAAATTGAATTGCAATAACTTAATATTAGACTTAATTCAAAATAAGTTATTTGTTCATAAAATTTAAAATTAAAATTTTAAATAAAAAAAATCAAATTTTTTGTATTTTAACTAACAAATCATTGATAAAAGCAAATATTTATTTATTTTTTTATAAAATTTAAAATTAAAATCTTAAATAAAAAAAATTAAACTCTTTTTACTTAAACTACCAAATCTTCGGTGAAAGCAAGTGTTTGTTTCACATGCGCAATGCGTCTGTATTGTATAACTGGATAACTGCTATTTTTGGAGTGAGATCCAATGGACATATCACAAGTAGCTAGTTTAGGTAGGAGTTTATATCTTTAA